TATGATTGTAGTCAGTGGTGTGTAGGGGCAGAACCGTGTGTGTAGGGTGACCAGGTGCATGGATTAAACGTGTGTTTTTTTTTATCACAATGTGGGGAAATTAATGGATAAAATGCACAGATTATTATTATTATTATTCCCACTCCGATCGGGACACTAGGTCCACCGTTTCCCCGCAGGGAGGCTCCCCCCGTTGACAGTTTACGTGGGCTGGGCTGGGTGCAGTGGCGGACTGGCCGGTACCGAAGTGGGCCGGTCGGATAAGTCACTAGCACATACCCCACTCCCCCCGTTGACAATTTACTAGCGGTACCGAAGTGGGCCGGTCGAGAGTCCCGGGATGATTTTTAGTCCCAGTCCACCACCGGCTACATGACCGTATGATCGCCCATATTGACGCACCTAATTCCTAAACTTCTAACAGATACAACATAAACCGATCCTTCAGCCTCATATGAGCTCTCAGACACGTTCAACATTAAACTGTCATCGCTGTCTGAGCTTGCTGCTGTGTGCCCCATCAGGTTTACATGCAGATGCTGGGATTCTGAACGGTGCAGCTGGAGCGCTGTGCCCGCAAATACGTCACACATCATTTGGCGGGACTTGAAGAATCCCCGAGAAGATCCAGAAAATGGTCAACATTGAAGGAAAGATTAATGGTTATCAAAGTACAAATATTCAAAATCAGTTCAGTCACGGTTTTCAAGGGGACAATATTTACTCAAATTGATGGGTTTGGATGATGGGGGAAACTCGTGTCACAGGCTCTTTAAGGTGATTAGGTAGAGGCCCTTTTCTATCAGTAACGATTTTAGCAGTTGAACATACAGTACAAGTCAACTGAGTGTCTCTTGCAGTGTTGAGTTTTTATTTTATGAACCTTTTACATTAAAAATTGTTTTTTTAAATATGATTATGGATAAATACTAGGCTATTTATTATAAACGTTAGTCCCATCTATCACTGTGTATATCACCATTCTTTAATTACATGTTTGATAAGTTTCTATGAAATAAGAAATGAATACAATTAAAATGTAATAATTATCATATATTAGAATGTATTGTATTATTAAGTAATATCATACATTAACCCCATTATAGCAGATGCCACATTGAATTCTTTAAAATGAGTTTAAAACAAAGAGTTCTCAACATACATAGGCATAGGGGGGCGGGGCTGGTGAACGCTATGGTCAATGTTTGTAAACACTGTGAAATGTTGACTTTATTTGATCATTTCAGTTAAAAACTAACGTTCATATTTCTCTTTTTGTGTTAGTGGCTGACCCAGCCCCATGGTCTGCCACGCGGGAAAGAGAAGTGCACTGCTTTGCCTGGCTGGACCTGTATTGTACAGGAAAAGAGTGTGTAAACACACAGCTGAGAGCTGCCGTTTCATTCAGACTGTTTAAAAAACGGTAACAACGGACTATTTTTCTTAGCGGATGCATGTCAATTTAAATCAATACAACTATTTTTTAAATCAATAAAAACATTTTCTAAATCCATAAAAGCATTTTAATTAATATTGAGAGTCATGTCGTTACTTTGTTGAGAATGTGGCCGTGTGATAAGCGGGATAAGAACACCTTCATGCTGCGGGACGAGGCTCCATTCACATATAAATATTTTTAGTGAATTACTGAGTTTAGGCACGTTAATAACGTTTGAATGAAGGGGGTGGGGGATCGCCGGAGCTGTATTAGATTAACATGCTTATTGTAGCTGTAAGTGCGGCCTGTAGCATCATCCTTGATGGAGCATATGTGTGGGCTGGACCTGTATTTGACAGGAGAGGAGTGAGCAGAGGGTCGAGTTGTCGATTCTTGTTCAGTTTTCATCTGCCTCACCCTCTCAGACTTTCAGTTGCGCGCTGCTAAAGAGACGTGTTACCATGGAAACCAAACAATGGTGTAGCTGTATTAAAGTCAGAGTGGAAACAGTCCTGAGTAAATCTGATGATGTCAGAAATCGGGAGAAATGCGGGAGAAATATGACCCCGGGAGGAAACCAGGAGGGGGCAATTAAATCGAGAGGGTTGGCAAGTATGCCTGGTGGATCAATGATCCATTGCAGCTGGCTTCATTATAACTACATTTATCTATCAAGGGGGCGGTCTCAAGTCACGCTGGAAAACAGGCTCAGGTTAAAGTCTCTTGAAACGACAGAAGCACCTGGAGGAAGCCGGGGCTCGCTGCTGATTGGTCGATGGCGAGTGGAGCAGGCAGTCCATTGGCTGAACAAAGGGGGAGGGGCTTATCCCGTCGCCGGGGGAGGAGCAGGCTCCGCGAGCTGCTCGCTGCTCGCTGCTTCTGATGTCGCCGGGCAGAAAAGTGTTGGCTGCAGAACACAGAAATACTTTTAAAGGATTGGGAACATTAAAACATAAACTAATAAAAACCTTTAAAAAGATGCTTTAATATTATCTTTCAACGAAGTATGAACTAAGAAGTACATTTTAGTTGTAGTTCAATCATTAGTACATTACATCTGGTTTATTTATTGAGCTTACCTGGGTGTAGGCTTTCTCATGTAACTGCAGAGACATTAAAACATCACATTATTAACTATAATAACTATAAAGAGTCAATATAACAACAAAACAAACATTAATTATGATATTATACTATATACTGTATATATATGAATGAGTTTGAATGGACCAACCAGTGATCAGATCCCAGAGAGGGCGGGGCCGTCCAGTCCTTCAGGCACCGCTGAGGGCTCCCATAAGCCCCGCCCCTAACAAACTCTGACAGCGTCTCCACGGAAACCGCTGACAGCCGCAGCATGGGGGCGGATCTAAAACCGGAAGAGGAAGAGGAGGAGTATAAGCTCCATATGTGCAGAACGCCGTGATTGGAGGAGAAGGAAGTGAGGTCAGAGAAACGCCATTGGCCTGAAGAGATGTTCAGGGCTTCTGATTGGCCTGAAGAGATGTTCGGCGCTTCTGATTGGCGGTGGGTTGACGGCAGGACGTGCAAAGTATGCTGGGAATATGAGCTGAGGAGGAAAGGAGAAATGTTTATTTATATAAATCAGCTGTTTTGTGTGTTTGAAGTGTTTTGAGTGTTTTGATTTTTTTGATTGTTTTGAGTGTTTGTTTTAAGCAGATATCTGAGGATCAGCTCTTTGTGACCTCATGTGATTTAATCATGTGATTTCAACGTGTGATTTAATCGTGTGATTTAAACGTGTGATTTAAACGTGTGATTTAATCATGTGATTCAAACGTGTGATTTAAACATGTGATCTAAACGTGTGATTTAATCGTGTGATTTAATCGTGTGATTTAAACGTGTGATTTAATCATGTGATTTAAACGTGTGATTTAAACGTGTGATTTAAACATGTGATCTAAACGTGAACAATAAATAATAAAAAGCACCTGTGTGGCGGCGCTCTGAATCCATTCTGCCTGACGACACTGACGGTCTTCTGTGATTGGTCAGTTTCTCCCTCCTCTCTCCTTCTGTGTTTCCTTTGGTTGAATTTGTGCAACATGATTGGCTCTTCTCCTCTGAAGAAGACCGCCATGCGACCAACAAATCTCCCAGCATGCTCCTTTTCCTCCTCTTCTCTTCCTCTGTGGTGGTTCTTCCTCTTCCTCCCTCTCAGCTCCTCCTCCTTTAATTGGCTCCTCCTCCTTTCTTCTGATTGGCTCAGAGAGGAGAGACCCAGGTGGGTGGGGCTACACAAGGAGGCCCCTGAGGAGGCGGCGTTAAAGGAGGAGGCTCCTCCCTCGTTGCCTCTCCTCCTCTCTTCTGATTGGCTCTGAGAATATAGGGGCGGGGCCTCCTCAGTGCCTGATGAAGCCACAGGTAGTAGGTGGGCGGGGCTACACAATGAAGCCCCTGAGGAGGCGGGGCTACACAAGGAGGCCCCTGAGGAGGCGGGGCTAAATGAGGAGGCTCCTCCCTCTTTGCCTCTCATCCTCTCTTCTTCAGTGCCTGATGAGGCCACAGTTAGTAGGTGGGCGGGGCTACACAATGAAGCCCCTGAGGCGGGTCTACCTGAGGAGGCGGGGCTACACGAGGAGGCAGGGCTATACAAGGAAGCCCCTGAGGAGGCGGGGCTACATGAAGAGGCTATTCCCTCTTCTCTCCTCAGGCTCCGCCTCCTCTTCCGCTCCAGAGAGTCGAGCCTCCGGCCCAGAGACGCCATCGCTCCTCTGAGGAGGCGCCGCACCTCCATCCTGTGAGCAGAGAGGAGACGAGGGAGGAGGGAGGAGCAAGAGCAGGGGGGAGGAGCTACACGGGGAGGAGCTAATATGGGAGGGGCTACTACTGGAAGAATGGCTACTGTGGGAGGGGCTACATGGGGAGGAGCTACAGGGGAAGGGGCAGGAGAAGATTGAGTAAACGACGGAGTCAGGGGACGAGGAGAGGAGAGGAAGGAGGGAGGAGTCAGGGGACGAGCAGAGGAGAGGAAGGAGGGAGGAGCTAGGGGACGAGGAGAGGAGAGGAAGAAGGGAGGAGTCAGGGGACAAGGAGAGGAGAGGAAGGAGGGAGGAGTTAGGGGACGAGGAGAGGAGGAGGAAGAGGAGCTCCAGGGCGCCGGAGGGAAAACTCCTGAAGGAGAAACTGTAAAAATAGGAAATCAACTGTTTAATAACATTTACAGAGAATACACCATAAAATAATAACACACTCGTCGAGTGAAGAGTATAAAGTAGTTAAATAATTAACAATATGCTAATAATAAATATGAAATGAACCCACCTGTTCGTGTCTCATTTGTGACCTCATCAGCCAATGGGAGAGCAGGAGGCGGAGTCACCTCCACCAGGCCCCGCCCCCTGCCAGCGCTCTCATTCAGCGGGCGAGTTAGCATCACTAACAGAGAGAGAGAGAGATAGAGAGTTAGCATCGCTGGCCTGAGTCAGCATTATGAGTCCTGAACCCTGAGTCAGCATTATGAGTCCTGAACCCTGACCTGAGTCAGCATTATGAGTCCTGAACCCTGACCTCAGCATTATGAGTCCTGAACCCTGAGTCAGCATTATGAGTCCTGAACCCTGACCTGAGTCAGCATGATGAGTCCTGAACCCTGAGTCAGCATTATGAGTCCTGAACCCTGAGTCAGCATTATGAGTCCTGAACCCTGACCTGAGTCAGCATTATGAGTCCTGAACCCTGACCTGAGTCAGTATCATGAGTCCTGAACCCTGAGCCAGCATGATGAGTCCTGAACCCTGACCTGAGCCAGCATTATGATCTGGTTCCAAAGGAAAATAAAAATGTTTTTTAAATCAAATATCAGACAAAAATAGAAACGGGGGATAAATCCAAAATGTTAAATATAATATGGTCATATTGTTTATTTTTGTGTCTGTTTGAAGCATTCCCACGATGAGTCTCACCTGCTTGTGTGTTACCACCTGGATTACACTGACCACTATTGCGGTAACAGGGCTCGACATTAAGGAATGCCCGATGGCCAGGGGCCATCTAGTATTTAGCTCGGGCCATGAAGCCTCACCTGCTGGTTGCCCGATCGGGCAATCTATTATGCCAGTATCATGCAGCTCGCGGATCCAGTAATGAGTGACCCGACAGTAAAACTAAAAATATATATAACTAGTTACGGTAGTTTGAGAGGTGATTAAAATAGCTACGTGTGATATTCTAACCTGAAGTGTGTGTTTTGTCCGCTCACCGCTGCATGTGATCATGCAGAGCTGCGTGTGGACTCGTCAGCAGCAGCTGATCTCTCTCTCCCGTCAGATTAGACTTCACTCGCGTTTATGTCCATATCGATCAGATCCAGCTAGTTCTAGCTAATGATATGACTACCTGCTTATTAAAAGACACCTAAACAATAAGTGTCGCTATGCAACCGGGTGAGGCCACAAAGTATAGCGCAGCATTATGCATTTGTTTACATGCCCACCGGAACCCCGAGGCATTACCAACAGATCAACGCACAATCAACCCATACAGCACATCTCTTTCTCCACATTACGTGTTAGACATTAGAATTGACTATTCTTGTCTGTCACATAAGTGGCGCAAGTTGCGTAACTGATGCGGTATTGCGCTAAGGGGAAATATATTTTGACCGGACGCTTTGACCGGAGAGATTTAGATTTGCCGGTCTTCAGCATATTTTACCGGTTGTAGTCCGGTAATTACCGGCTAACGGGAACTCTGGCAGCGGAACATCAGAGTTTATGTGTTACAATGGGGGGCGCACCTACAGTGTAAGCGCGCCACAGTTTCGCCGCTGCGAGGAGCACCCCCCCACCCAGCGCGCCACAGTTTCGCAGCTGCGAGAGTGTGTGTGTGTGAGGAGCTCCACGGATTGGTCCATCTGGGTAAGGGCACGTCACTGTACTCAGGAAGGAAACAATGGAGAAAGAGAGATCTCCAACGAGGCGTTCAGGGGCAGACAGGTCTTCTCTGTGTTAGAGTGTTACTACCTACAGGGTGTACTTTGAGGGTTTGTGACTCTGCAGACCGGTCACATGCAGAAGCTACAGAACACAAGGGGACGGGTCAGAACCAGAGAAGCACGACATGAGACCTTTAAACTGGTATTAATCAGTGTTAATAAACTGAATCTGAGGAAGAAGTTCTCTCTGACTTACACTAAAGTTTGAATGTAAGGAAATGGAAATGACAAAATATTGAGTTGGTGCTTTCAAGAAGAACAACAAAAACAACAAGTCACCAAAGTGACATCAAATGGATTTATTGTGATAATAAATAAGCTAAACTGATCTCGCGAGACTTCGCGATGCTCGCTGTAAGAATCCCCCAAACCTGAGAATGTGTTGATCAGCTGATTAACGGGTTATTAGAGTGACGTCACGCCGAGGGGAACGGGATTAGTGCGGGAGAAGTGAGGATAAAACGTGATTTAACGGGATTTGGGTAAATAAAGGTAATTTAAGTGATCGAGCTAGCTTAGCTTCACTGTTTGAACCGGGACATGTAGAGGGTTTTTGTTACCTGTTGGAGCCCCGGTGGGTCGGCTAGTCTCCGTCAGACCGTCCTGTCTCTCATGTTAGAGGCTTTAGCGACGGGAAGAGGAACAAAGTGCTGTTTATCTGCAGAGAATCCGGAGCTCTGTCGCACCGGCGTCAAGCTAACAGCTAACACACACACGTCCGGGGAGGGGGTTCACAATAAAACACACCGACTTCCGGGAGGGTTTTCCAGAATAAAACACAACGTGCTTGGAGATTTAGGAAAAGAAACCTTTCAAATCAAAGCCAAAAATATAAATAATCTTTTGATTAAAAGCTTTGGATAACCCCATATTTGACTGATTAAAAATAATAAGGTTTATTTCATAGAATGGTTTATTTACGTTGAAAGCCGGAAGAGTAATGGCCTTCCGGTCCACTAGGTGGCGGGAAATCTCAAATAAACGTCATTAGAGATAAAAGAAGAAGAAGAGGAGCCGGAAGTCAGCTGTCAACATTTGGAGGAAAATCTTCAAGTTTCTACATGACTGCACAGGTGAGTTTACCTGAGAGCTCTCCTGAGGGGCTCTGTGTCCCGGATGTTACATCTGAAGACCCTTTATATTTTAATCCATGTATGGACGACCCTCACAAACGTGTGTGTGTATATGTGTGTGTGTGTGTGTGTATGTGTGTGTGTGTGTGTGTGTTTGCGTGCCTGCGTGTGTGTGCCTGTGTGCGTGTGTTTGACTGTGTGTGCCTGTGTGTGTGTGTTTGCCTGTGCGTGTTTGTGCGTGTTTGTGTGTGTGTGTGTGTGTGTGTGTGTGTGTGTGTGTGTGTGTGTGTGTGTGTGTGTGTGTGTGTGTGTGTGTGTGTGTGTGTGTGTGTGTGTGTGTGTGTGTGTGTGCAT